AGAATTCAACAACATATCAAAAAATAATTCACCATGACCAAGTGGGATTAATATCAGGTATGCAGGGATAGTCCAACATTAGAAAAACAATCAATGTAATCCATCACATTAAAAAAAAAAAAAAAGACAAGAACCACATGATCTTATCAATTGATGCAGAAAAGGCATTTGACAAAGTCCAGCACCCATTCATGATAAAAACTCTCAGCAAAATAGGAATAGAAAGGAAAATTCCTCAACATAATTAAGGGCATTTATACAAAGCCAACAGACAACATCATCCTAAATGGAGAGAGTCTGAAAGCATTCCCCTTGAGAATGGGAAAAAGACAAGGATGCCCTTTATCACCACTCTTATTTAACATTGTGCTGGAGGTCCTAGCCAGAGCAATTAGGCTAGAAAAAGAAATAAAGGGCATCCAAGTTGGTAAGGAAGAAGTCAAAGTATCTCTGTTTGCAGATGATATGATCTTATACACAGAAAACCCCAAAGATCCACAAGAAAACTACTGGGACTAATAGAAGATTTCAGAAAAGTATCATGATTCAAGATAAACATACAAAAATCAGTTGGATTCCTCTACACAAACAAAGAGAACTTAGAACAGGAAATCACCAAATCAGTACCATTTACAATAGCCACCAAGAAGATAAAATACTTAGGGATAAATCTAACCAGAGATGTAAAAGACCTATACAAAGAAAACTACAAGACACTACTGCAAGAAACCAAAAGAGACCTATATAAGTGGAAAAACATACCTTTGCTCATGGATAGGAAGACTCAACATTTTGAAAATGTCTATTCTACCCAAAGCGATCTACAGATACAATGCAAGCCCGATCCAAATTCCAACAGCATTTTTTTTTAATGAGATGGAGAAACAAATCACCAATTTCAAATGGAAAGGGAAGAGGCCTGGGATAACTAAAGCATTACTGAAGAAGAAGAACACAAGTGGGAGACCTCACACTACCTGATTTTAGAACCTATTATATTGCCATGGGAGCCAAAACTGCCTGGTACTGGTACAACAACAGACACAGAGACCAATGAAACAGAATTCACAATCCAGATGTAAATTCATCAACTTATGAGCAGCTGATATTTGACAAAGACCCAAAGTCTGTTAAATGGAGAAAAGAAAGTCTCTTTAACAAAAGGTGCTGGTATAACTGGATATCTATCCGCAAAAAAATGAAACAAGACCCATACCTCACACCATGCACAAAAACTAACTCAAAATGGATCAAAGACCTAAATATAAAATTGAAAATAATACAGATCATGTTAGAAAAAATAGGGACAATGCTAGGAGCCCTAATACATGGCATAAACACAATACAAACCATAACTAACAATGCACAAACACCAAAGAGAAACTACATAACTGGGAGTTCCTAAAAATCAAATACTTATGCTCATCAGAAGACTTCACCAAAAGAGGGAAAACACAACCTACAGACTGGGAAAAAAATTTTGGCTACAACAAATCCGATCAGTGTTTAATCTCTAAAATCTACAAGATACTGCAAAACCTCAACAACAAAAAGACAAATAACCCAATTAAAAAATGGGCAAAGGATATGAACAGGCACTTCACCAAAGAAGACATTCAGGTGGCTACCAGATACACGAGGAAATGCTCATGATCATTAGCCATTAGAGAAATGCAAATCAAAACTAGACTGAGATACCATCTCACCCCAACAAGGCTAGCATTAATCCAAAAAACACAAAATAATAAATGTTGGAAAGGTTGTGGAGAGACTGGAACACTTATACACTGCTGGTAGGAATGTAAAATGGTACAACCACTTTGGAAATCGATTTGGTGCTTCCTTAAAAAGCTAGAAATAGAAGTACCATACAATCCAGCAATCCTACTCCTCGGAATATATCCTACAGAAGTAAGAGTCGTCACATGAATAGATATAAGCACACTCATGTTCACTGCAGCACTGTTCACAATAGCAAAATGATGGAAACAACCTAGCTGTCCATCAAGGGATGAATGGATAAACAAATTACTGTATATTCACACAATGGAATACTATGCAAAGATAAAGAACTACGATGAATCTGCAAAACATCTCATAACATGGATGAATCTGGAAGGCATTATGCTGAGTGGAATTAGTCAGTTGCAAAAGGACAAATATTGTATGAGACCACTATTATAAGAACTCAATACATGGTTTAAACACAGAAGAAAATATTCTTTGATGGTTACAAGGGTGGGAAGGGAGGGAGATGGGTATTCACTACATAGACAGTAGATAAGAATTATCTTAGGTGAAGGGAAGAACAACACACAATACAGGGGAAGTCAGCACAACTGGACTAAACTAAAAGCTAAGAAGTTTCCTGAATACAGACAAACACTTTGAGGGACAGAGTAGCATGGGTGGGGGTCTGGGGACCATATTTTCAGGAGACATCTAGGTCAACTGGCGTAACGAAGTTTATTAAGAAAATGTTCTGCATCCCACTTTGGTGAGTGGCGTCTGGGGTCTTAAAAACTAGTGAGCAGCCATCTAAGATACATCAATTTGTCCCAAACCACCTGGAGCAAAGAAGAATGGAGAACACCAGAGACACAAGGAAAATACTAACCCAAGAAACAGAAAGGGCCACATAAACCAGAGACTCCATCAGCCTGAGACCAGAACTAGATGGTGCCTGGCTACCACAATGATTGCCCTGACAGGGAACACAACAGAGAGTCCTTGATGGAGTACGAGAAAAGTGGGGTCCAGAACTCAAATTCTAGTAAAAAGACCAGACTTAATGGTCTGACTGAGACTGGAGCAACTCTGGAAGACATGGCTCCCGGACTCTCCATTAGCCCAGAATGGAAACCATTCCCTAAGCCAACTCTTCAGACAAAGATTAGACTGGACTATGTGACATAAAATGATACTCGTGAAGAGAGTGCTTCTTAGCTCAAGTAGATACGTAGATACATGAGACTAAATGAACAGCTCTGTCTGGAGGCGAGATGAGAAGGCAAAAAGGGACAGGAGCTGGTTGAATGCACATGGGAAATCAGAGGTGGAAAGGAGGAGTGTGCTGTCACATTATAGGGAAAGCATCTAGGGTCACATAGCAACGTGTGTATAAATTTTTGTATGAGAAACTGACTTGAACTGTAAACTTTCACTTAAAGCACAATAAAAACAAACAAACAAATAAAACTTGGTTCTCGGAGGGCAAAAAAAAGACTCACTGATTCACATGAAGACACATTTATTTACATAATGTTCCAACTTAAGCAGAACTGCAAAGAAGGCAATGTTCATCTTAAGTAATGTTCCATTTTGGTTGTCCACTTCCATGCTGGGTACCTTGTCTGTTGCTCTCTTTCCCATCTATTCCCAATTTAAACTTACCTGCTTTATGTCTTACCCCTCAGATTCCTGACCTGAGACACAAGGTTACTTTGAGAAACTAATTTTTTTTCTCAGACAAACTTAATTGTCATTTAACACGGATATTCTGGAACCAGAGGTTTACCAGAAGAATGACACTCCTGAGAGAAATTCAAATATTGTGAGCATCACTGGCAGTGCGTATTTTTAGGAACAAGAGAATCTGTGTAGGATCATATCACACAAGTGGTCACTGATATTGAGAAGCATCTGTGGTGTTCCCACTCTCTATGCCTGTCCTTTCCCATTACCGAGCTAGGAAAGACCACTGGCTGGGAGGTCAGGAGATCTTAGCTCTAGAACCAGAGTCAGAGAATGAAACGCCATCTTGCCCAACAACCCACCTGATGAACAAATCCCCTCTGCAACATCCCTACCAAATGTTCATTCAGTATCTCCTTGAACACTTCTAATTACAGGGGACTCACTCCCTTCGGAGGCAGTCTATCCCATCTTAGCACAGCTCTGACTGCTGACAAACTTTCTTTTATTGAGTTGAAAAAAATCTCCTTACAGATTCCGATCACTGTTCCAGTTCTACCCTTCGGAGTCAAACAGAATAAGCTTATGTCTCTTCCTTGCAACCATCTTAAAAATAACTACCATTTATAGAGTGTATGTGAAGTAACTGTTCCAAGAACTTCACGTATAAATTCATTTAACCCTTGAATCAGCACCAAAAGGAAGGTGTGTCACTATTATCCCCATGTTATAGACAAGTAAATTAAGGTATAGAAAGGTTAAGTAATCACCCAAGATGACAAATTCAGTAATGGCTAAGCCCGAATTCAAGCCCAGTCACTCTGACTCCAGAGCTCAAGCTCTTAATCACTATATTATGCTGTCTTTGATACTCAAGTACTTGAGAATGACATATGATACCACGAGTCTTCTCTTTTGCAGCTGAACATCTCTGGGACCTTCAACTGTGGCTTTGTGTCCCTTCCCTGCCCTCATCATTGCTCCTCTGAATGCATCCCAGTCAGTCTATAGTCCTGGTGTAAGGTAGTTTCTAGAACAGACTGTTGTCTCTAGATGTGGAAAACAGATAATAATCAATAGAGACTAGAGCGAGTCTATCACCCCTCCTCATTTCAGGAATCATGAATGCAGCTTAAGTTTGCACCGCCTTTTTGATGGCTCATGGAGAACTTCCTGCAGACTAATTCTCTCGTTCCTGTTCGGCCTGTGCAACTTGAATCTGTAAAAATAAGGTGACTGGAATATGTGACCTCCAAGGACTCTTCCAGTTCTAAGCACCTAGGATCAAAGAATGTCTTACAAACTGCCACGTCAGGAAGGGACATGTTATCTGCAAGTTTTTTATCAGGCTTTCTTCCCATATGGCCTTCTCCATCAAGGGTTTCTGCAGTTTTGCCTCTGGGTGGTAGGGTGCTTTGTTCCTGAGATGGGGGCAGAGTTGGGACTCTAGAAGATGGTTTGTGGTGGAGTCTCCTTAAAATCTGCGAGGTGACTCCCAACCTTCCCTCTCACCTGTTGTCCTGTCCCTCCCTTCCCACAGCCCCCTCCCACCCCTTGCGCCAGGCCTCCAGGGTGCCTACACTCACCTGTGTGTACGAACATGTGCTTGACATAATTCTGTTTGGCGGTGAAAGTCTTGTTGCAGAGAGTGCACTCATAAGGCTTTTTTTCGCCCTGCCCACTGGCTGTGCTGTGGCCTGCGGATGGGGCCAGGGGCTGTGGCGCTGGCAGCTGTGCAGTAAAGGTCGACAAGCCTGGCTGGGACACTGTCACAAACTGGGTCTGCTGGCCTGTCAGGGGCTGCGGCAGGCTGAAGAGGAAAGGCTTGGGGCCGCTGCCCGCGGGCTGGGTAGTGAAGAGGGCCGGCAGGTAGGTGTTGCCGGCTGTGCCAATGACCTGTGTGTTGCTGGTCAAGGTCAGAGGCATCCTCAGGTTGCTGGTGAGGGTTTCTGTCTGGCGTAAGTAGAGCTGGGTACTTGGCAATGGCTGCCCGATGGACGTGTTGACCGAAGGCTGCTGCAAGACGCTCTTGTCGGAGCTGTTGCTGACAGTGATGACCGTGTTGTCCATCTCCACCTCGTTGCTTCTCTCCGGAGTAGACGCGCCTGTCTCTAGCGGGTGCGGCGGCGGGCCGCCCTCCACAGGGGCTTCCGTGGCCTGTTCGGGTTGAGCAGGCTCGGCCTGGCTGTCCCGTGCCACCCCGGCGAACTGCTGCTCCACCGAGTCGGGCTCGGTACCTATGGAGGAACTGACACCCGAGTCGAAGCTCTCGCCCTTGGGCTCACTCTCGGTGCCCTCGGCCTGGTCGGTGTCTTCCGTGCACTCCTCGGATTCGTTGCGCTCCAGGATCTGCACCCTTTGCTGTCCATAGTAGTCGTAATCGTCCTCCATCTCCTGCTTGATGTGGATGTTCCCCACCAGGGTCTGGATGCGCACGGGCCGGGGCTGCTTGCGGCAGTGCGTGGTCTCGGGCGTGGTGGACAGGTAGCGCTCCATCTGCTGTGAGCGCTCGTGGATGCGTGTTATCCAGCTGGGGTCTTCCATGTGGTGGTCGCGGGGCAGGCCAAGCGCAGTCTCGTGGTGGCTAACCACCGCACCGCTGTAGAAGGAGCGCTCGCCGCTGCCGTTCTGCATGGAGCACGCGTACAGCGCCGAGTAGATCCTGTCCACACTGTGCTGTGAGTGGCTCTGCAGGTAGCCCGACTCGGTGTCACTGCTCTGGCCCGACGTGCCTGACTCGGGGGTGCCTCGCGGTGTGTCCTGGCCTGAGTCCTGGATTCCAGGGAACACGTCGCCCACATTCTGCGACACAATGCGTGTGCACTCGTCGATGACCGTTTTGATCTGCAGGATGCTGGCGGCCGTGAGGATCTGCAGGGCTTCCGACTGCGAGACGCGCAGCACGCCGCTGTACATGAAGTCAATGAGCTTTTGTACCGACTGCACCGACACCACCGACGGGATCTCGATGTCGCTGTAGCCCAGCAGCAGCTTGTCCTGGAAGAAGGGGCTGCCTGCGGCCAGCACGCAGCGGTGCGCGCGCAGCATGCTCCCGTGGATGCGCACCGTCACGTCACAGAAGTGGCCACGGTTGCGCTGCTCGTTGAGGGTCTCGAGCACGGAATTGCTGAAGTTGTGAAGGTTGATGCTGTGAATGCGCTCGGTCATCCCCTTGCAACTTATGTCACCTGCAGCACGGCAAGACAGACAAAACAGGGTATGGGTCAGAGCTGGCTGGCTGCCTTCCTAACACCTAGGGCTCAGCTGGTAATGCTCATGGCTCCCAGAAGCACCCTCCTTGCATGCCCAAGCAGGGCTGTACGGGGAGATGGTCAGGGATGAAGTGGCAGGGATGATGGCCTAGTGAAACCACACGTTGACTTTTTTCCAATTCTGGCCTCAATGCAACAGCTATTTTTGGGTATTGAATTCATATTAATCTTATCCCAGAGTTTCAGCCAGAGTGGTCAGTTAAAGTAGAGGGTCCTAATAGCCAGACCGCTATTCTTACAACTTCAGCAAAGAAGAACTGACAGGCAAATAGAGGACTTGTTCTCATGGAACTCTCTACCTGTAAAAATGGCAAGGCAGGGGCATCTGCCTTCCTCCAGCTTCACAAGGGGGAAGGAGAATCAAGATCAACAGCCCAAGGCTGATTCCTATGAGGTGGAGGTCAGACATACCTCCTCTCTCCAACCTTTATACCAATTCTGACACCAGTCGTCCTTCCCATGACACTCTCTACTTCTCTGCTAGGTTCAATAATTCATTGCAATGGCCACACAGAACTCACAGATCATACTCACAGTTAATGGGGTTTATTAGGGAACTAACAGGTTACAATTCAGGATCAGGAAGGACTCAGAATACAGTTCTTTGGTCAGGACAGCTTCTCCACCATGCCTGTAGACAGGCCTCTCCATGGCCCTCAGCCTTTGGGCCTATCAGGCGTCTTGGGTTGGCCCGGGCTCTGCCTTCCTCAGGCAAGTGTCACAAACCTCTTTAGCTCTGCCCAGGGGGCACCCCACTCCACCAGTAAGCCTCGGCCCGGAAGGTGCTCAGCTCTCTCGCTCCGTGGGTCGCCAAGCCTACCGTAACTGCCTTGCTCTGTGGGCCTGGAATCTTTCTGCACTGTCTTGTGCTGGTCTCCTGTTTCTACTGCTGCCATTTCTCTGCTGCCGCTTTTCGCTGTCTTGCGCTGTCTCCAGTGTTACAGCTCTCTCTCTGTGTCTCCTGGGTGTAGGAGTTTCTGGCAGGGACCCCAGGTCCAAAGGATGCACTTCACTCCTGTCTCTTTTTCTTGGTGGTAGTGAGGCCCCTGGTCCACCTCTGGGACGGCTCATTTTAAGCCCAGCAGGATGGCAAAACTGACCAATCGCCTCGTTAGGGTTCCATACACCTTATTTGCATAGACCCATCCCCACAAGGGTGCCATGCACATTATTTGCATTTTTAGCAAGCTGTCCAATTCCCTTGGTGGGCCACAAGCACCTCATTTGCATAGTCCTATCCAGTCATTTGGTGGGAGTTACAAGACCATGGCGAGAAAGGCAGCCATCACAACACACTACCTAAGTACAGACCTGTGGGAAAGCTTACACTTCCCCCCAACTTATTGAAGTTCCTTATCTTATTCACAGACAGCAATATTCATAGTTAAAAAAATAAAGTCCTTTCCTATTAATTTACATAGCACATTACAAAAAACCCAATATATGCAAAAACTCTTGGATAATGCTACTCAGACTAAGATATCCACCCAATAGCTACTGTCATGTTTCCCAGCTGAAGGATGGGCTACAGTATGCTAACTATAGGAGCACTCTCCCCTGCTTCCCTTACTAGCACCATGTTTGAGCATTTTCTAGGGTGGCTCTGTGTGATATGGGTGGTTTTCTGAGTTTTCTGAGGCTTAATGACGAAGGAATGCTAAAAAGGTCAGAGATGGCAGCATTGACCCTAGAGAGTGGGGTGCACTACGTGATCATATCTATCGTTCAAACCAGGTACTTTTGAGCATGAAAAGGAGCACCATTAATAATTAGGCCAGGACAAGGATATATGATTGCCCCAGGCAATTGCCATGCTGTATCCACTTGCAAGAGGGGAGTATCAAACAGCTACCAGGAGGAGGAAGGCAACATATATATAGCTACTTGGAGGCTGTGGATGGTCTGACCCACTCCTATACTTCAGGCTGTGCAGAAAGAGATAATGTTGGTAACATCTGGATAACAGATTAAGAAGAAAACAGGTGGTTACAGCACTAAGTCTTAGTTCTTTCCTATTCTTCTACCTCGCCTCTCAGATGGCTCTAAAAATTTCTTCTGTCCAAGAATTGGATTCTTGGATTCCTCATTTCTTACCTTCACAACTTCCAAGAGCTCAGCCTGAGAACTGATTTCTGGCTTTGAACTCATACCCTTTGGTCCTCTGAGAAGCAACCCCAGAGGTTAATGGCCTGCAGACAGGAGGAATGCCCACCTCCTCAGGTTCCTTCTCCTTTGCTGTAGGTTAAAGGAACTACTCAGGGGAGTTTGAGCTCAACTAGCTTCTCCACCTTGCCTCACTCGGTCTCCTCATCCTGTCTGAGCTCAGTCAGTGTGACTACACCCTTTTAGATATCATTCATTTCTTTGTTCCCACCTTTACACAGTCAACCTTAAGTATATCCACTTAACTTCATATGCCTACAGGCTCTAGGTCCATGATCAGTCATACAATTTGCACTAATTTCTATAAGATAATTTTTTCCAACCTCCACCAGATCTGTTATGTGCCTGATATATTACATTAGGCTGCAACTTCCATCTTTTTCACTTATATAAAACAGACTCTCTTTGCCAGACTGAAGAATGATCGTGAATCCCTTTAATCGTGTTAATATAATATAAAATATGGCCCCAGAGGAAGGCATCAGCTCTCTTGCTCCACAGGCCAGGAAGCCCACTGCACTGTCTCCTGGTTCTGCGGCCTCTGCTGCTGCCATTTTTCTGCTACTGCTTCTTGCCATCTCCAGTGTTACAGCTCTCTCTGTTTCCTGGGTCTAGGAGGTTCTCAGCACAGGGATCCTGGGTCCAAAGGATGTACTCTGCTCCCATCTCTTCTTCTTGGTAGTAGTGAGGTCCCCCCTTTCCACCTCTGGGATGGCTCATTTTAAGCCTAGCAGGATGGTTAAACTGACCAGTCTCCTTGTTAGAGTTCCATACACCTTATTTGCATGGTCTCACCCACACAAGGGTGCCATGCAACTTAACTGCATTATTAGCAAGCTGTCTAATACACTTGGTGGGCCACAGACACCTTATTTGCATAGTCCCACTCAATCATTTGCTAAGAGTTAGACATCATGCTTGGTAAAGTAGAGGGTCAGTGAAAAAGAGGAAGAACCTCAACAAGAGGTACTGATACAGTGGCTGTAACAGTGGGCTCAAGCATAACAATGATTGTGAGGCTGGCGCAGGACCGGGCAGTGTTTCGTTCTGCTGTACACAGGGTCACTATGAGTCGGAACTGACTCGATGACACCTAACAACAAAAACAAGACTGTGGTGAGAAAACCCATATAAAAGTGATCCATTGCACCACACGAGCACTGTTCTAACTACTTTATGTATGTTATTCCATTTAATCCTCAAGATAACCTTATGAAGTAGGTAGTATTTTTACCTCCATTTTATAGATAAGGAAGCTGAGGCCAGAGAAACTAAGAAACACACTCAAGGCCACATAGGCAATAGGTGGTATGACTGACATTTGAACCCAGGCAATCTTGCTTTAGAGTCCAAACTCTTAACTGCTTCACTATATCATATGCCTCACTCTTGAATGAGGTCTGACCATTACGTGTCCACGGGTCTGCTGTAAAGTTGTGTGAAAGGGTTTGTCTACTATTCCCTGCAAAGACTTCTATACCTATCCATGACTTAGCACTGCTTTTGTGTTTCTAGGCCTTCAGACTCCAACATATCCCAGTCATCTAACTTAAGGGGCTTTTAAAAGTTTATAGATGGAACAATGCAAGAGATAAAACAACTTGTCCTGGCAGAAAGAGTAGAGTTTTTGATATATAATTTTACTACCACTAAGGCCTATTTCATTTAAGTAAAACAGTAAGTAGTAAAACTGGTGGTATCTGTGATAAAATCACCATCATTGAGTAGAAGTAATCACTTTCTCTTTGATAGACTTATTAAAAAAAACATTTTCCCACACAGGTGAAAACACTCTTTAAACACATATTTGCTTATAGCATGCACCAATCACAGTGTTACCACAAGAGATAACGCGTATGACAGAGTTGACTTTCAGAAAATTCTGGGAAGAAGTTTTATCTTAATTATTGTAATAAGTAATATCCCTGTAGTGTTTTACAGTTTACAAAATATTTTCACATGTAACATCTTATTTACTTTTTACAACAATCCTATAGGTTTTCAGGACAGATATTATTCCAATTAGACATAAAATTGAGCCTCTAAGTGTCTAAATAATTTGCCCAAAGTTTTACACATTAGTAAGTGGCAGGGTTGGGAGTAGAACCCAAGTTTCTTGATACTCTTTTTACTACGTAATATTGGATCACTGAGGAAGGAAACTTCGACTGTCCAAAGATCTCAGACCATCCTAATTCTTAGGACACAGAAGAAAAAATAAAGGCACTGGAAGTGATGATGAAGATTCCTTTAGAGATGAAAAATGGTCAACAGCAAAAGCTGTTATTATCTCACACACATTCACACCCCAAACACACATTTCCCCACACACATACACACAATCTTATAAAAAATTCAAACTGCTTGTTTGCTTGAACTGGATTGCAAATTTAGTCTATCTAAATAATCAGGCAACCCTATAGAGGTGATCACAAAAAATGATCTGTTAAATAGTCTGAGTTATGATTATTGTAGTAATGTGACCAATTCTATTAAAAACCACAGAGACAAACTCAAACCTGCACAGATATACAACCTGACAAGCCAAGGTGGATTTTTATAGATACAAGCTTTAAACAGCTCCGTGAGTATGCTGGCCCTACACCACAGAGAGCAGCCCTCAAAGGCTGAATCCGTTTTGCTGATGCGGGCGGGTACAGGGTACAGATGCAATGGGGTCCCTGCCTCTCCATTCAGGCGACTTCGTGCCTCCAGCACACAATGCTGAAGTAATTCCTTTCCCAGCCTTTCTC